CTTTCCAAGGTAGAAAGTACACAAATCAACCAGCCACAACCAGGTGAGACAGTCAATGCAGCCAACTCCAATCTCATACAAACATCTGATATCCTGAACATGACTCCGCAGTTGCGATGATGAGAGATGAAGCTCTGTAGCGGTTGCGTTCACAGCGATTAGTGTTTTTTCATCCTTATATATACAAAAAGGAGAATACAAAAAACTGCGTGGCTTTCTTTACTCACAGGATTTAAGGAAACTTCATGTACTTACAGACACATTTAACTTCAAAAAGTGATATCCTAAAATTTGTCTAACATAAACAAGTTGTGGTGTCGAACGAGCAAATGAATTCGTCTATTTCAATTCCGCCTCACCTTAAACTGGGCAATGAAAATCATTTAAAATGACCCTATGTGGTCAGCAGTTCTACTGTAATTTTGTTTTCATGTTCAATTATATCAACTTATAAATATGCCTAGTTTAGCTGAGACAGGTATAAATGAGCTTTCTACAGAGAAATTATAATAATTAGATATCTGGGAAGCACTCCATATCACAGGTAACATGAACTATATAAACAACCAATGTTTGTAACAGTTGTAACATTTGACTGTTACATTTTCAATCTATACTTATTTTAAACATGTAAGGGAAGCAAGTTTCGAATTTCTATATTTTCTGCTTATTACAGGTTCTTACAGTTCACATATTTGAGCAGGGACGGTGGTCGTTTTGCTGCTTATCTCCAGCTTTCCAACAGACATCGTTTAAAGGGACAGCCATTGTCCTCACTCTTGTATCTTCATAAGGGGTTTTGTATATAAGCCCCTAATCTACCTCAGAGGTATCATAATAATTTTAGGTTGTGATTATATAAGATTACAGTTGAACAACTGTAATTTTTTTATATTAAGAATATTATTGAAGGTCATAACACTAAAGGAGAAATGTCCATATTCAGTGGCCACATTATATGGAGAACCAATATAATGAGATAGTATAGATATGGGTTTGAAAATGCCTTTCAGGCGTGTGATACTGTCACATCACTATATAAAGTTATATATATTTGCATATTTATTGGAATTAATTCAGATTGGTTTCAGTATAAACTATATATAAATTATATTTTTTGAAATTTATGTTTTATTGTTTAAATAATTGTATTTAAAAGGATAGTTGGTCCAGTTAGGATTATCAGTTGACACGCTTTTACATACAGATATGAGCATCCTGTTGTTGTCCTCGAAAAGACCAACCAATAGGAGTCGTTTATTTCAAGGATTTACCAAGTATGGCAATGTAGATTATGGCGAAACTAGGAGAGGGGATATTTGCAGCTCATGGGTTTTAGCTGAAGAAGAGATTATTCTCTTCCATAGACTCCTGCTAGTAGCACTTACCTTCTGAGTTGTAAGTAGTCCCTCGGGTTACTGCCCAATCAGCCAAGTTCAATACTAATTGTTGTAATGTTTTAAATTCTAAATTTCAAACTAAACACTAAACTTAGGACTTACTTCCGAACCTTTTCCGAATATCAGAGAGCTCACTCAGCAATGATGCTGTTGGTTTATTTTAGAGTAAAACTATGATAAGCATTATTGTAATATTGTGAAAATATTACAGGCGAGAGGCGAAAATGAGTTTCAGGTAGAGACAAGTTTTGAAAGATAACTGGTCCTCGTTACAATGCACTTATGCTTAAACGAACATTTAAGGTAAAAAAAGAAGGACAATACTATAGCGGTAACGGGACACGACGTGATCGGGCGGGGGTTATGTCTAGACATAGCAAATAATAATATTTATTTATTACAAATTGACGACCTTCAAATGAAGCAAGAAGACATCTGTACTGGCCCGACGATGACTCCTTTGTGAGTCGAAACCGGTTGCATTTTAGCAACACATTGATCACATAGATGCAGGTATTTACACCATTATTTAGTATTTAAATGTGATCAGGAGGCTAAAACTCAATATAATGAACATAAGACATAAGTCTATTTAATATTGTCCGTGTGAACGCAAGTTTACGTTTTTACCACGAGACTGGTGAAAATTAAATGGATAAATATAAAGTTCACCTTCTTTACAGGTTTGCTGTGAATAACCTGGCGAATATGAATTGAATATTTGGAATTCGGCATATATTTAAAATCGGCATTACAAAGTCACTGTAATTTAAGAAGAATCTTCATAATTTCCATAAACCATTTTATTTATTGGTAAAATTTTAAACACATTTATTGTTTCATGAGAAAATTCTTTGAAAGAGGTAAATTATGCTAAGCCAAAGTGTGAATTCCACCCGGAGAGGCTAAGTCGTAGTCAGTGTAAAGAACACTCTCTCACAATCCCTTGTAAGCCGGGGATCAACCAGAAGACTGTGCAACATCACGGCTTGTGCTATGAAGGTGATTTTTCCATGATATTTGCATTTGAAAGTATAAATATACGTGTTAGCTTTATATCTTTGAAAGGTTCTTTGAGATATAATAAAATAATCTTTCAAATTGTGTTTATTTATTCTATGGTATTACTAATCACGTATTGATTGTATCCGTCTTACAAAAATTCAAGTTTGTGCCCGTTTATGGACAAACGCGATGCAGTCTGTAATTTTAGTGAAAAAAAGGCTCTGGACAAAGATTTAAAGAACATTAAAATTGTACATTTTCTTAAATAATGCTAATAACTCGAAAAAAAAATAATTTTTGAAATTTTCTCAAGCTCTTAATACCCCTTTCTGTTGACTCTATATTGCTAGTTCACAAACAAATTCAAGTTTATCCAGCTCTACACCTTTAAGCAAAATTTTATCAATATCAGGCCAAAATTACTCGAGTTATCGTGTTCACGGAGGTAAAATATAAGTATATATATATATATATATATACACATATAAACATTTTAAACAAATAGTAGTTTTGGCCTCTAGGGACATGAAAATGAAAATGTAAATCAGTCCCAGGCCTAGATCTTATTTTTATCTTACTGTATTACCTACGGTAATAGCTACTCCCTTGTTTTTGTTAATAAGGAAATTTGCTAAAAATTAACAAATTATCTTAACTGTGGAGTAATAATTCTAGGACCATAATATGTACCAAGTTAGACTATAGTATTACGTTTGTGTCTATAAAAATACTAATTGTGTTGAGAGTGACGAGTTGTAATAAACTCAAAATAATTCGCCGGTAAATCTTAATTGATTAGTTAATTTAATTAAGTAAACACGGAGATTAAATTTATATTTTAAAACTAATTACAATATCAATAGAAGCGGGTCGCTGAGTGTAATCATCAAAGGCGATCATAAGATTGAACCAACTTCATTAGCAGCTTTTATTTTGGAGCTTCTGTTTACAGAGCTCCAGGGCTTGATTGTAGCTATGGCGTTTCTAGTTTGTAACACAAAAGAGATTTTATACTTCAAATATGTATTACCTGTTGGAAAATGCGATTGAATTAAAATAAATATTAAAACTAATTATAAAAATATTTTAATAACTTAAAACTTGTTATGACTGGAGATAAATTTAGTTTTTAAGGGATACGTGAATTTAAATTTCACAAATAAAAAAAATATTAAAAATACACTATAATTATTAAGTTATATTCTTCAGTAAATTTGATTCAACAAACTATTCAATTTGTTGACTTCATAAAACGGCATTAAAAAATGTTAGAGAATATTTTACAATGAAGCCAATGCTTATGTTGTAATTAAATTGTAATATAATCATAAAAACGAAAATCCTATCCTATACTCTAATACGAGCAAGGTTTGCTTGTATGTATGCTTGCACCAAGATCTCGAAAACGGCTCCGACGATTTTCTTCAAATGTTGTAAATAGTTTATTTCTGGCCTAAAAACGAGTTTACTGCAGTTAGAACTGCCAACAAAAATCTAAATACGTAGAAAAATGAAACTGAAAATCACATTTTTTTAACATTAGTCTTATGGGTTGCTAGGTAACCATGTTGGCTGAATTAAATAACAAGGAAAAAGTAAACAACAGACTTGAAGTTGTAGCATGTGTTCATAATAAGCCTACTACCCACAGTATACAAGCAAATTACAAATACAGTACAAAAGGAAAAACATCAGTTAGTTGTTACTATTAAGCAAAGATTATACTGAAGATTACTCGATACATTGTTTGTAGTACAGGCTAGCAGTGCGGAGTGTAGGAAGTCTGCGGCATTTGGATTAATGTATCTAAAATACTAAAATGCTACGGGTATATTTCCCATCCTTATGGAACAGCTGAAGCCAATTTTATTGTTAGTTCTGTCCGGTTTTCTGTAGATGTCGTTTTTTGTTTACAATTTGTTTATATTATTTTAGGGTTAGTTTCTCATTATTTGTGTCTCACCGTTTGGTTATATAGCTAGGGGACGAGTTATTGTTTATGATTAGATAGTTTTATTTGGTTAAACGAGGGTTTAAATTACTGAAATAACAAGAAACAAATTGTAAACAAAACACGACATCCATGGAAAACCAGACAGAACTAACAATAAAATTGGCTTCAGCTGCTCAATAAGGATGGGAAATCTACTAAGGGACTATGTTTTATCATGCTCTATCTATGCTTAAATGCTAAGAGAAGGGTAAGATATTTATGTAGTATGAAATTATGGAAAAGTGGTATGTCAATCGTATGAGCTTTATGCAAGCGCATACATTGGTAACTATATCTCAACTCTAGAGGTAAAAAGTGTATTACTATATCACTAGCTCGAAAGAAGTCGATTAAATTTTATTCTTATTGTGGCCAACTTGGTTTAAAATCTACCTAGAGTCGACTCAATCCGATTGGATTGTATTATGTAATTATGTAATACGGCAAAACTAATACTGAAATGAAAATGTTGCATTATGCACATGTGGTTAAAAGTCACATGTTTGTGATTAACGTATCAACAATAGAGTTTGGTTTGTAAACATATTGCCTCAAAAGATTCGTTACTAGATGGAAATGTACTCAACAAAAAATCTGAAATCATGAAAAGAGGACGACCACCAAATAAAGGTTTGAAGAAGTTGGGGAATTTCTTTAAAAGGCACAAAGCTGATGAAGAACAGGTAAGCTATAAAATATATACCTTTATTAATTTAATTACATACATTAAGTTCGTGTGGTATGTCATTACTAAGTAGCTTACACCACGAATACAGAAATTGGAATAGAGTTGCTTATTTTATATTTCTCTATAGCTCATTGTGTAAGGTACGTTAAAAAGTTATATGACAATTTTTATGATTGGTAGTTAAAAGTTATTAGGCCTAACTAATTAAAACTGATCCATTACTTGATTATATATGATATCAACTTTCTTCAAAGAACATAACATTCTTTTTTTATTTAATTGCAAAGCTAATGGACACCCGGTTAGCCTAAACGTTATAGAGTCCCAACTAGGAGAAAATGTGAGTTTTTTTTTTAATTTTGTAAACATCGTTATTAACATTAGTTACATATTTCATTTAGGATTGATTAAAACTATTCTATAACGGTAGGATAACTAAGGAATAAACTTATTTGTTTGAAAAAAAAATTTGAGTTCTTAACTTTTGTCCAACTGATTGTCCAACTGGTCAATATGGTTAAATAAATATAATGATATCAGTTTCTCTAATAAATTTAAGTAGTTAGGCAAGCTCATGAGGAATTTAAGGTCAATATGGTTAAATAAATACAATGATATCAGTTTCTCTAATAAATTTAAGTAGTTAGGCAAGCTCATGAGGAATTTAAGGTATGTTTTCAATACTTCAAAACCTGTGTAGATAAGAACGGCTTTGTAGCCTATGAGCTAGCATCCAGCAATTATCATTATTATTATTTGTAAAATCTAATATCATTCAGGAATTTGTTCTATTGAAGTAGCAAGAGTGTTTTAAAACTAGTGTTTTAAAGCAAGTAGAAAGTTTGTGCCTTTTTCACCCAAACAATAGAGAAGCAGGTCGTAAGTTGAATGTGACATGGTGTGGAGACCGTCTTGAGCATTGTCCTACACACAAATATCTTAGTGTCATACTTCGGTCCAAAAAAGCTTCATATTACGGACACGAGTTCTGGATGGATCACTCTCAAGCAATCGGGTGGCAAGGTGGGAGGCCAACCCTCGCATACCAGCCAGGGAGGAACTGGCTATGCCTTCATCACGGTGTGGAAGACTCTAGCTAGATCGAATCAGGGTCGAGATACAGTACCAAAATGCAAGACAAACATGCAGAAATGGGTCTCTTACATCATCACATGACGAAGAAAACGTTTTGTGTGCGTGTGGTGTTGTTCAGGATCCCGGCCATCTACTGATGTCCACGCCTAGACCAGTCTTGCACATTAGATGACCTTTTACAAGCGAATGACAAAGCCATATCGGTAGCTAATTTCTGGAAAAGCAAAGTCAGATTTCCGGACACGGAAAGTAAGTAGCCTAAGTAGCATGAGGAGGAAGAGGGTTAGTTACAATTTTTTAGGACCTTTATAGCTTAAATTTACTTTCATTGACAACAAATTTTTTTTTATTTTAGGTTGCAAAAGAACTTGAACCTGAACCTGAACCTGAAGGACCTGAGGGGTCTGGTGTATGTGTCTTAGAAGTTCAATCTGAACAAAATGTGAGTTGTTATTATCATCTCAACCGTATTATTAATGTAAAATTATTCAAAACAATTAATTAATTTAGTTTAAAAATATTATTTTGTGATAAATTAATAATACCAATAACCAATAAAGTAAGTAATCAGTCACCAATTTTACGATGAACGAAAAATAGCTTACACTTAGATACTGTACAATGAAAATTACCTTTCCAACAAGCATAAAAGACAAATATTTTAATTTCAGGTCCCAAATGGAGTGCGCGTGTTAAATGATCAATCAGATAAAAATGTGAGTATGAGTAACTATACCTGAACCGCATTGTTACGGTACTAATGAATAATTTAAAAAAAATTAACCGTTCATTTTGTGGTTAATTCATATTTGAAATAACATTTAATGTACTGTAGAAAATTATGAATTTGGTTCAAACAGAAAAATGTAAAAAATATATTCTAAACACGCAAAAGAATCTGTCATCATTGTTATTATATGTGGTTAAAAATTGCATAACTCGATTTTTTGGACAGTGTAAATGGCTTATGTACCGGTACCCAAAGACTGCCATAGAAAGATAACGTTTGCCCAAAGTAACCATTAATGGTAGATAGGAGAGAGGATACTCATATATTTTCATGAATTTTTACTGTAGGTAGTAAACAAATAGACCTCTGTTATTGTTTGTTGAAATTGTTATACATTTATGTTTATTTTCCATGATGATTAGTTATTCTGATTCTGGTATTGGAGTATGCCAAGAGTAAGATATAACGCAACAAGTGTAGACAGGAATTTTATATTCTAAAATTGGCCAGGTGATGCTTAAATTTTTACTCTCAGTAGACTAGGATACAAATTTTGCAGTACAAATTAACGCAACCTTAATACAGATTTTTTATTTGTACAGCTGATGACTTCCAACAAACCCATTAGATGTGCGAAGATAAGGGCTCTGGAGATAATTTCAGATGTAAGTGCTCAAATAAGTCAGTCTATGGTGGAAGAAAAGGTAAATTATTTTGAGCAAAGAAGAATGTCAGAAGACAGCCAGGTTCGTGCCACTCGCCTTGAGGAACAGCGACAAAGAGACGCCAACCGCAGAGCCGCCGAGGACGAAGACGAGCGAGCACGAAGCCTCGAAGAACTGCGGCAAACATCCGCTAACCGCAGGGCCGCCGAGGACGAAGACGAGCGAGCACGAAGCCTCGAAGAACTGCGGCAAACAGCCGCTAACCGCAGGGCCGCCGAGGACGAAGACGAGCGAGCACGAAGCCTCGAAGAACTGCGGCAAACAGCCGCTATCCGCAGAGCCGCCGAGGACGAAGACGAGCGAGCACGACGCCTCGAAGAACTGCGGCAAACAGCCGCTAACCGCAGGGCCGCCGAGGACGAAGACGAGCGAGCACGAAGCCTCGAAGAACTGCGGCAAACAGCCGCTAACCGCAGGGCCGCCGAGGACGAAGACGAGCGAGCACGAAGCCTCGAAGAACTGCGGCAAACAGCCGCTAACCGCAGGGCCGCCGAGGACGAAGACGAGCGAGCACGAAGCCTCGAAGAACTGCGGCAAACAGCCGCTATCCGCAGAGCCGCCGAGGACGAAGACGAGCGAGCACGACGCCTCGAAGAACTGCGGCAAACAGCCGCTAACCGCAGGGCCGCCGAGGACGAAGACGAGCGAGCACGACGCCTCGAAGAACTCCGACAAGCAGCCGCTATCCGCAGAGCCGCCGAGGATGATGACGAGCGTGTTCGACGTCTTGAAGAACAGAGGAAAATAGATCAATAAAAGGTTAAATTACCTGTGTCCGCCGGTCGATCCTGTAGAATCCTATTGCAGGATATGCATTTCGGCGATGTTAAATACAGGTTAAATTGTTTCAGGTAATTTAACCTTTTATTGATTGTCAACCGATCCGGAACAACAAACAACATAAAATGAAGGAAAATAGATGCCAACCGCAGGGATAATGAAGTAGTAGACGAGCGTGCTCAACGCCTTCTAGAACAGCGTCGTCGTACAGCTGAAATGCGACAGAATTCTGAGCGCAATCAACTTCAATCCTATAAAGCCGCTGCCTCAAGCCTCGTAGAGTACAACAATTTGGGAATGTTTGACATTGCATGTGTTCATTGTGGTGCTGTTCATTTTTTAAAAGAGAGAGTGCAGAACAGAATTCACCCTAATTCTTTTGGTGACTGTTGCCTTCATGGTCGCATTGAACAACCTGCGCCAGAGTTTCCCAATGAATTGGCATTGCTGTACACTAAACAACACAGACTAGCCAAACAGTTCCACGATAAAATTCGAAATATTTCTGCCTGTTTTGCTTTTTCTTCATTCAATGTTGCTGATGACAGGACTTTCAATAGTAAAGGTATTTATACATTTACTGCTGGTGGACAAGTGTATCACAAGTTAAATTTGGCGGCTCAGCCAGTCAGCAACAGTGAGGGTGATTTGGAAAGACCTAGATATGGCCAAATGTACTTCATTGATCCGGAAACAGCCGTTGCAGAACGTATGAATGAACCAATGAATCAAGGCATCAATCAAGAACTCATACAGATTTTAGAGGAGATAATGAGAAGTCAAAACCCATTTTCACAGGCTTTTACGATGATGAGGGAGATAGTTGAGGAAAACAATCAGCGTGCTGAAGCTCTTGGTGTCCAACCACCCCACGTCCACCTCCTGTTTGCTGAACGTGCAGGTAAAATAATACTGTTTTCTCTAATTACAATTATTTTGTATGTTATTTGTAGTTGCTGCAAAAATATAAAATCAGAAATATAAAATAAACAGTAACTAAACATAAAAACTTATGCAAACTTATCAAGTAAGTAGTCTTGTGTTTGTTACTCCTCGATAAATATGATGACTCTGAAGGTAAATTTAATTGAAGGGTCGCCACAACTAACGTTTTGCTGCAATCTCAGTACTAAACTCTGAAAACTTCCATACAAGCATAAGCAAACGCGCCGTAGCCTTTTTTATTTCCTTTCTCCGTAGCTTTCTATATTACATGTAAGAATGACTACAACAGCCTGTTAAAATAATAATACCCCAACCGCAGCAAACCTGCAGACTAAGCAAATTTCCATTTGCCTGATTGGATTTACACTAAAATGCCTCCTGAAAAGTATCACATTTATTCCCTATTTTAATAGATTAGTTTAACGTACTTAGGTTTGCTGGAACAGGGAGGGTAAAAAGGTGTTTTGTTGTAAAATGTTAATAGTTTAGTAAAAAATGAATGTATTTTACAAATTCTATCAAAATATGTTCATAAACAAGCAAACTACAACAGTTGACTTATTCTCCATAAGAATAACATAGGAATTTTAAATTTACAATTTTGTGGAATTTTCTCCGTAACCATTAGGCGCACAATAACGCTTCAATATACTAAATTATTTTTTTTTTTAAGCTCTACAAAATGGTTTGGAAAGAAATTGTGAAATTTTGTGTTTTTAGGGTAAAAAACGAAAAAAACCTATTTTTATTTGTGTCATTTTTCTCTTAGAACTAAATAATGATTAAAGTTAAGATTTTTTTGTTTTTCATATCATTAATTTACGATGTTTACTTTTAGGCGATGATCCCAGGCGATTCAACTCACCAACTTATAATGAAGTTGCTGCTGTAATTACATTAAATGCAGACCAAAGTATTCCGGAAAATGAGATGGTTATTAAGGAGCGAGGAAAACAGTTAATAACGCTCAAGAACATTGACAGCCGAGTAGAACCATTCACCTACCCTCTCCTCTACCCAAAAGGAACTTTTGGGTTTACTGTAGGGCTTCCTCTTAAAACGCCTTATGCAAGCCGTGCACACATGACGAGGATGGAGTTGGCTCAATACAGGTTAGCCTTTCGTCCAGAACAAGCCAAGGCTCTTCCTCCTGAACCATTGCTAGAGGATTAGATCTAAGGTCGATTGGATTTAATGCTCTCCACTTTGGTGGTAGACTGTTTCAACAGTACGTCGTGGACACATACATCCGTGTTGAACGTGATCGTATTCAGTGGATCAAATATAACCAAAAGAAACTTCAAGCTGATCAGTATGCAGGAGTAACACATTTTCTAAATGAATTGGCTGAAAAGAAAAATGCTACAGTTGCTGAAAAACTGATTTTACCATCATCTTTTCCCGGATCAACTAGATATTTCACCGAACACTTTGAAGACGCTATGGCAATAGTCCGAAGGTTTGGCTCTCCAGACTTTTTTATCACAATAACGTGCAGTCCAACATGGCCAGAATTAAAAGAAGCTGCATGTATTGAGCTCTCTGATGGTTCTAAACTTCAACAGTTCGCCCAGGAAAGACCTGACATTAGCTAGGGTAGCCAAATTGAAATTTGACAGCATAGTTGAAGATATAAGTTAGAAACAGATTTTTGGGAAGTCTTCTGCTTTTGTTTACACTATAGAATTTAAAAAACGAGGATTACCCCACCTACATCTTCTTGTCATCATGGCAAATGAAGACAAACTCCGGTCTCCAGAGGAAGTAGACACTTTCATTTCGGCAGAAATTCCTAATGATGACCCAGTTCTAAGGGAGTTGGTCCTCAAATGGATGATTCACAATCCATGTGGCGAACTTAATCCGTCTGCATCATGTATGAAGAATAAGGGTGGATCAGCTAAATGCCGCTTTGGATTCCCCAAAGCTCATCAAGAGTTTACGTCAATTGTTGACAACAAAAAACCGAATTATAAGAGACGGTATGACCCACAACTGGATCCAAATAACCCAGAATTTTCTCACGTCCATGCGGTGTACCGCAAAAACAGTGATGGACAAAAAGTTACACGGGACAATAGACATGTTGCTCCATACAATGGCTATTTACTGAAGAAATACATGTGTCAAATAAATATCGAGTATGTTGGTAGTGTTAGAGCCGTTAAGTACCTCTATAAATACATTTATAAAGGGCATGACTGCGCAAATATAAAAATTGTTGAAAATGTGGCCCGAATAATGTATAATGAAGCAGAAACATTTGTTGAGGCACGTTATATTTCGCCCCCTGAAGCATGTTGGAGGCTGGCTGGAAATGAAATCCAAAGGAAAAGCCATTCGGTGCAACGTTTGGACATCCATCTAGAAGGTCAGTACCGTGTGGGAAACATGGAACAGACACAAGAAGATGTAGCGGACACTGGCCTGAAAGGGTCCACCTTAGAGGCGTACTTTAAACACAACTCTAAACTTCACATAGAAGAAGAGAATGGGAATGAAGTAATCTACTACTTCTACTGGCAGATGCCAGAAAAGTACAAATGGTTAGGCAAAACAAGTGAATGGGTGGTACGACAGCGAAGCTCAAAAACTATTGGAAGGATCCACACCGTGAACTTGGTGGCCCAACCTGAACTTTATCACTTGAGAATGCTCCTCTTTCATACCAAAGATGCCAAAAGTTTTGAAGACCTTAAATTTGTAAATGGGACTGCCTATTCCACTTATAAACAAGCATGCCTGGCAGAAGGCCTTACATATGATGACCAGCAATGGATTGATGGGCTGCGGGAATCCGCTTTGTCAAAGATGCCGAGTGTCATGAGGACACTCTTTTGTCAAATCTTGATTCTCGGATCACCAGAAAACCCTAAACGTCTCTGGGATATGTTTAAGGACGAGTTGGCAGAAGATTTTCTTAGAGAAGCAGAGATTTCTGGAACTCCTCTAGAAGATGCTTACAACAGAGCATATAGAATCATAGCTTACAAGCTAAATACTGAAGCTACAGAAGGTAATAATCAACTTATAAATATTACTTATTACAAAACTTAAATTAAGTTTATTTTGGGTGTATACCCCTTCAAAATTTGTAATATATTTATTTATATTTTATTTTAAATGATAAATAATATCTTTCTCTTAAACTGACAGCGAGTAGGTTAGCCATGCCAATGGTCGATGAATGTTGTCTATTGGTCTACCAAAGTTAAATATCAATCTTTAGTGAATTCCTTCAACATATCATACACAATACCATATCAATATTAAATTATTTTAATGTCTTTAAAAGTCATTTCAAAATAATTAATAAAGATGGTCTAATACAGTCCTTACTATTATTTATTAATCACAAATTTATAAAAAACAGATGATTTCAGAATCAAACCTTTGCAGATATTTTTATAACAGTCTTTAAAAACTAACCTAAAATATGTTAATTTAATATAAAAAAGGGTTGGAAATTAGTGTGTGTTTTAAATAAAAGAGCACAAACCCCATTTAACCATATTATTCACTCATGAATAATACATTCATGACACACATTATTCTAACCATTGTTGTAAACAGTACTTTAATTTGGGAGATATCGACCTTGAAACATACATAATTGCGGATCTTCCAGCAAAATAAATCGTCTTAATAACAAACATTTTGAGCCTTTGGGTGGTGATTGATCACCTATAATTACTCCCAATTATTTACCCAAATTCTTTCAGCTTTATTAACTTATCGTTATTTGTGATGTGTTCCAAAAACTTTAATGACACTTTCTAGAAATTTTTAATACTTAAACGTGCTTATTTTAGGCGCAACTTCCGTTTTTGGGTAGAGAACTATGGAATGGATGATATTAACGACTTCGAGATGAATGAGGAGGTTTTTAACGTAGGGCAATCTCATGAAATTGGCCATCGCCTCTACAACAACCTCAATGATAAACAGAAGGAATTTGTTGATGCTGTCATCCAAACACTTGATGATGAGAGTTCAGGTACAGTACACTGTTAATAAACTGAGAAATTCAGGTGCGAGAATACCTAGGATACCACTAATAGTGTGCGGTATAATTACTATTAGAGGAAAAAATCGAGGTTTTGGTACAAAAGAGAATAATTTATTAAGAGAAAAATGAGTATGTTGTTATGTGCGGTGATTCTAGACGAATGAATCCAACAATGGATAATGGTCATATGATGGGATGTTAAATACAAAGACATTTAAATTACTAGATGAAACAAAGACACTTGACGGAACATACCGCCCCCTTTGAACCAATGGGGTTCAATAAATTAAAATATTACTTTTAACAAAAACAAAAACTGAGGGGGTATTTATGCAAAATTGATTGTCTGAGGAACACTCTTAAGGGATGGGAAACACTTTTATCGCTGGTCTTGTATACAGTCCGTTCGCTGTTTTAACTTTGACCACTCTGACAATGCCGTCCAGTCCAGGTGAAGTTTCCACTATTCGACCTAATGGCCAACACAGGGGAGCAGTTCTGGTGTCTTGAAGTAGAACAAGGTCACCAACCTTGAGGTTTTCATTTTTGATGTTCCACTTGAAACGCTGTTGAAGGGTGTTTAGGTATTCTTGGCTCCAACGTCGCCAAATGTTTTGGGTAAAAGCTTGGACACGTTGCCAACGCTTAAGGCGGTTAGAAGTCAAATCGGTGAGGTCCGGTTCAGGAACAGGTAATAGAGAAGAGCCAATGAGAAAATGGCCCGGAGTTAATGCTGTTAAGTCCGAAGGGTCTGAGGAAAGAGGAGTCAATGGTCTTGAATTCATAATTGCTTCAATTTTAGCAGTTAGAGTGAAGAATTCTTCAACTGTGAGAACTTCTTGTTGAATGACTCGATAGAGGTGATGTTTCATGCTTTTGACAGCACTTTCCCACAAGCCTCCTTGGTGTGGGGCAGCTGGTGGATTGAAGTTGAATTCGATTGAATGAAGGTTACAAAAGTCCAAGAGTTGTTGTTTGTTTTCAATAGTTTTGAAGAGTGATTTAAAATATGAATCAGCTCCGACAAAGTTGGTACCACAGTCGGAATGAATCGTTTTTGGAAGACCTCGACGTGATACAAATCGTGTTAAAGAAGCTAGAAATGATGCTGTAGAAAGATCAGTCACAGGTTCTAGATGAACGGCTTTTGTGGCAAAGCATACAAATACACATATATAAATCTTGAAATGTTTAACAGACCGTAGATTGTGAGATTTCGCAATGAAGGGACCACAGAAGTCCATGCCTGTTGTCTGAAATGGGCGTGTACAGCTGACTCTTGAACTGGGTAGATCACCCATAAGAGGTGGGGTATTTCTTGGTTTACACTTAAAACATCTTTAACATTTGAAAATTCGCATTCTGATAACGGTTCTAGCAGAGAGAATCCAGAAGCGTTCATTTATCAATGACTGAAGGAGTTGTGGTCCAGCATGTAAGTGTTTTGAATGGAAATGGTCGATCAGAATGTTAACAACATGATGAGATTTTGGCAAAAGGATTGGATGTTTACTGTCATAACTCAGAGATGATTGATTGAGTCTTCCTCCAACTCGAAGAATTCCTTCGCTGTCCAAAAAGGGAGACAATCTTCTGATCCTTGTACTGCATGGTTTGTCGTCTTTCAAAAGTGCAATATCTTCTGAAAAAGCTTCATTTTGTACAAGTTTCTTGACAAGCTTTTCAGTCGACTGTATTTCCGAGAGGGTAGGTCTATCACCTTCAGTAGTATTGACAGGGTGGTTGCGGCATCTATTTATAAAGCGTAACACAAATGTTAGGACATTTAGTAGTTTGGTCCAATTTGAAAATTTAAGCAAAAAATCTGGAGTTTCAGAGGAGGTGAGCACGATGAGAGGGTCCTTTTTTAATTCTGGAATTTCATTTTCTTTGAGAGAAATTGAGTCATCTGAAGGCCACTGTGACAGATTATTTGCTAACCAGGTGGGTCCTGTCCACCACAGGGGATGATCTTTCAACAACGAGGGAGAAAGTCCACGAGAAGCACAATCGGCTGGGTTGTCAGAACTTCTCACATGTTTCCACGAGTTTATAGGAGTCAACTCTTGTATCTCTGCTACACGGTTAGAGACAAATGTTTTCAGTTTGTACGGGGGTGTACTTATCCATGCTAGGACAATGGTTGAATCACACCAATTTTGAATCAATTCTATTTGGTAGTTTGAAGAGTAAATATTTACACAGTAGTTCATTATTTTTGCAAGTAAATGGCTACCACATAACTCTAAACGAGGAAGGGAGACTGATTTCAAAGGAGCAAGGCGAGTCTTAGAGATAATGTTTCGGATGATAACTTGACCATCAACAGTCGTACGAAGAAATACAACAGCAGCATAACCATGAAGAGACGCATCTGCAAATCCATGAAGTTGAATTGAACAGCCTGATGTAAGCTTTAAATTTCTTGGAATTAGGATAGTTGAAACGTCAGACAATTCTTCAAGAAAACTCATCCAGGACTCAGTCAATTCTAGGGGTAAGGGATCATCCCAATTCAAATTCTGTGTCCAAAGGTATTGCATAAAACATTTAGCTTTCATAGTTACTGGTGTTATAAAACCTACTGGGTCATAGATTTGGGCAATGATGCTCAACACTTTACGTTTAGTATGTGGAATTGTTGTACATGACTTTGAAATGTTGAAATGGTAAGAAAATGTATCTGTAATAGATGACCAATGCAGACCTAGAATGCTGAAATGGGCTTGTTGTGTGGCATCATGAAAGAACATGTTTCTAGATGTTCTTGAGGCATATCATTGAGAAGCTTCTTTGAATTGGAGGTCCATTTTCTCAATTCAAATCCACCTTTCTTCAAAAGTTCAATCAATTGATTACGCAGCTCTAAAGCTTTGTCTTCAGAATCATGCCCTCCAATACAATCATCCATGTACGTTTGATGTAAAAGGACATGTTTTGCGGATGGGTACGCGTCACCTTCATCAGCAGCAAGCTGATTCAGAGTGCTAATGGCTAGAAACGGCGAACAATTCATGCCGTATGTGACAGTGGTTAATTTAAAAACTGAGAGTGGATCTTGATTATTTTCTCTCCAGAGTATCAACTGATAGTTTTGATCGTCCGGGTGAACTTTAATCTGACGGTACATCTGTTTGATGTCGCAAGAAAAAACAACTTTGTACTTTCTGAAATTCATTAATATGTCATGAACATCAGTTTGAAGCTTAGGACCAGGGAGTAATATATCATTGAGAGAGATGTTGTTACTTGTTCGACAGGATGCGTCAAAAACAACACGAAGTTTGGTTGACGATGAAGACTCTTTAACGACTCCGTGATGGGGCAGGAAAAAATGTGGACAATTTAAAGGGGGTTTGACATCACATTTTGTCATGTGGCCAGAGGTGTTGTAATCTTTCATGAAATCAGTGTATTTTTCATGAAATTCAGGTAGAGAGGAGAATTTACGTTCAAGAGATGCCATTCTAGATTTGGCAGGGATCAAAGAATCACCTAATACGTCACTATTAGGCTTAAATGGTAGTCTTACTACATAACGTCCATCAGGATCACGGGAATGAGTCTTACCAAATGATTGACACAGTAAGAGTCGTCGTCAGAAAGCTTTGAATGCTGCGGAGGTTCTTCTAGCTGCCAAAATCGCTGTAGAGAGCTGTGCAGATCGAAATCACTTATTGTTAAGAAGGTTGACAAGTGGTTGGTTGGGTGGTTTTCACCGAGGCAAGGTGTTTTACCCATAATTGTAAAACCAAATACTGTACCTATAACTTTTGGTAAATTATTACCAATGGTGTGTATCTCGCCAGTGAAAATGTTGGCAAAAAGTTCACATCCTAGGAGAATATCAATGGGTCCAGTAACATTAAATGAGGGATCTGCTAGGCTATATTTTCTAACATGCTCAATTACATCAGGATGTACTTGTGATCTAGGGAGTGGTGAAGTAATTTTGTCAAGAATAACTACAGTATGATTCTGAGCTACGGGTTTACTGCTTAGAGTTTCTAAATCCACATTAGTTACACCTTTAGTCTTGGTACTAAGGCCAGAGATGCCATCAATAGGAATTACTGACTTACTTCGGACCACGTTCAATAGCTGGGCTGCACGTTCAGAGATGAAGGAGCATTGAGAAGCTGAATCAATCAAACCTCGGAGGATATGTGTGTGTCCGGAGGGAGACTTAACCTTGATAAGAGTCGTGGCTAGGAGTACTGTGGAGTTGCATTGGGAGAATTTATCACTTTCGCAAACCATGGATGTTGCACTTTGAGGGTATAAAGCTTCATTAGGTTCACTTAGGCCTATATGTTGTTCTTCATTGGAACGATTTCTGACTTTAGTAATAGGCTTACCGGTAGTAGGTTTAGGTTTCAAAAAATGCAAAAGTGAGTGATGAAGTTTTGAACAAGTCTTACAAGTACGCTTAGACATACACTGCTTAACCAAATGATTGCCGAGGCAATTTGTACACCGTTTTAAGTCATGTACCATTTGCAACCTTTCTTGAGGGGTTTACTCTGAAATAATGTACAACTATATACATTGTGACTTTCATTGCAGCAAAAACATTTGAGATCATTTGAAGTGCTTACAAAAGCCAAAGGTCGACGTTGAAAAGATTTATCATTTTGAAATGAAACTTGATTAGGGTTGGAAAGTTTTAGAGGAGCTACTTGTGGAGCGTGACAGAGAGAGGCATCTTCACTGTTGTTACAAAAGTCTTTAAGAAATTTGATTAATTCACTTGCTTGAGGAAAATCAGAAGATTTTAGGCGTTTTGATTCGAAAACTTGACAGAGGTTGGAGTTCATTTTTCGTAAGATCTACATACTTAGTAGGTAGTTGTCTTCCATGACATTATAGTCAAGAACACTAAGAGCTTGTTCATTTTCGTTGAACTCATTTAAAAATGATCTGAGGTTTTTGATGGATTTGTCAGTAATATTGGGCAAATCGACAATTTTACTGAGGTGGACAGAGATTAGCCTACGCTTCGAGTGATATCTTTCCCGTAAAGCATTATAGGCTACTGTATAGTTGCCAGACGAGATTGGTAGGGATTTAATTAGGTGTAAGGCTTCGCCTTCAAGTGAACTTATCAAGTACTGGTGTTTTTCAACAAGGGATAAGCTACTGTTGTTGTGGATAGTAGTATCAAAAAGGTTAATGTAGGATATCCATGTTTTAGTGTCACCATTGAAGGACTTCAGTTCTAGCTTGGGCAATTTTACAACGCTATGAGTAGGCCTAGAGGTTGGGTTTGATGCTACAGAGTTATTTGACAAGTGTTCATCATTAAAGTTCTGAATTAAAAGAGAAATTTCAGTTTGAATGTTAATTGAGAGTTCTGATATGTCGTTCTGGAGCTTTGAAATAGCTTCTTCATTGTCAGAAAAAACTTAAGTATTGTCATCAACATCAAGAAGCTTATCAAGGTTAGCTTCAAAATTGGCAGAAATTGTTTTAGATTCTTGCAAATAAAGGTTAAGTTTAGTGGTTTGAGCTTCTGTTATTTCTGATGGACACGATTGGATATACTCACTGATCGAATTTAATTTATTTAATTGCAATTTGCATCTATTAGAAAATGTTGAAAATCTCATTTTGAAAGTTAGGCCTAGGCCGTTCAATGAGTTTAGTAGCAGAGATATTAAAATCGGATGGAGTAATTAGAGGATGAGGACGAAGACTGAGGAATAAAATTAGGGTTTCTTTATTATTTTCATGTTGGTAATGCTTTATTTTGATAACTTACGATGAGATGCGGTGCGTTGTCTTCGAAGTACAAACATAACCTTATTTTTGAGTTTCTTGACGTTTGACGTTGCGATGCGATGTAGACGAAATGAAGTCGAGTCGAGATGAGAATGCGGAGCGGAACTAGCAGAACGATGACGATGTTGAACACTTGGAATGAGAGGAGTGTGGACTGTATCGTGACGTAGATGAAAAGTTCAAAATGGCGATGCGGTTTTGTCCTTGGCGGCTTCACGTTGGATGAAATACGTTCAACCGAGACATTTAAATTAACTTGAAAAAAGTCGCACTAATGTATAATCCGCGGCTCGATAGGACCAAAAATGTGCGGTATAATTACTATTAGAGGAAAAAATCGAGGTTTTGGTACAAAAGAGAATAATTTATTAAGAGAAAAATGAGTATGTTATTATGTGCGGTGATTCTAGACGAATGAATCCAACAATGGATAATGGTCATATGATGGGATGTTAAATACAAAGACATTTAAATTACTAGATGAAACAAAGACACTTGACGGAACAAATAGCATTGAACATATGTTTTAACAATTCCATTTAACCAATGTTAAATAATGTTTATTTTCGGCCCAAAAACGTCATTTGTTGATGTTTATGATCCATACCGGGTATTTTTCTAGTAATCGTGTACGATACCAATAACCTTGAATAATAGGGAGGTTACTTCAATATTTAGAAAAGTATGTTTTGAAACTATTTAAATAATGGTCAAGCCTTTTTTTACTTACAAGTAAATGACATAGTTAGTTATCAAAATACAGTTTCAGTTTTGAAATAAAACATATGGTTAACACATATTATTTGTTGCAAAAAAAAGAACAAAAAAAACAGAATCCTACTGCATCAGCTTTTAGAAACCAGCAGACTTGGATAATATAAGCTCGGATAATAATGAAGTTAACTGTAAATTGTACATTTTTGTTTTTAATCAATGTCATCTGATTTAATTCATTTTTTAGCTTAAATTTTGTATACTATCTTTCTTTATACTATTCAAACAATGTCACCAGTTTTAAAATCCTGACAGTAACAAAACATAATGTTGTGCACATGAATTGATGCAACACATGAATTGATTTGTTTTCAGGACCAAAATGTTTCTTCCTTGATGGACCTGGAGGTACAGGGAAAACATTTGTCTACAATACCTTGTACCACCTCTGCCGAAGTCGAAACATCATTGTTAAATGCATGGCATTTACAGGCATTGCATTCATACTTCTGCCAGAAGGACGCACAACCCACAAGACATTTGGTCTTAAAGTTCCTTTGACTAATGATTCAAAATCATCAATCAAACGTGGATCTTCAAAATTCAAGGAATTGGAAGCAGTCAACATGTTCATGATGGATGAAGCACCAATGCTTCCTAAATACGGTCTTGACTGCATGTACGAGCTCCTTCGTGATCTAGGTGACAGGAACTCCCCATTTGGCGGGAAAATAATGATTTTAGGAGGAGATTTTCGACAGTGTCTACCGGTCCAGCCAAGGGCAAATCGTACCGAACTTCTAGACCTTTCCATCAAGAAAAGTGTTCTCTGGAGGTACTTCAGGGTTTTCTCTCTGGAACAAAATATGAGAGTTGATGCGGAAGAGGAGTGCTTTGCTAGGTACCTACTGAAACTTGGAAATGGAGAGCTTGATACCAACGCTGATAGTGAAATTGAACTCCCTAATGACATCATCACTAATACTAATGACATTGTTAACGAGATCTATGGAGAATGTCTCTCCGACGGAAACTTTGAGGACATGAAGGATCGAGCAATTCTTGCACCCCTAAACAAGGACGTCGACACAATTAACAACACCGTTATCAATTTAATTCCTGGAACCGAGACCATTTATAAAAGTTACGATTCAATTAAAGATGAACCAGAAGGTGCCTTAAAGTTCCCCCCAGAATTCCTAAACTCTATCGAGATTTCAGACCTACCACCACACCAGCTCAGACTAAAAAGTAATACCATTATCATGCTCCTTCGTAACCTTGACGTCTCAGAGGGTCTGTGCAATGGCACTAGACTGATAGTTACAGCACTCTGTCCTAACATAATAAAAGCCAAGATCATCACTGGTGAACACTCTGGCCGAGACGTGCACATACCAAGAATCACCCTTGATTCATGCAAGTCTCAGCTAGGGTGTTCACTACAAAGACACCAATTCCCTATTCGGCCAGCCTTTGCGATGACAATACATAAATCGCAAGGGCAAACATTTAAATATGTCGGCGTCGTGCTACAAACGCCTGTATTCATGCATGGCATGCTATACGTTGCATTTTCGGGGTAAAGCGTAGAAGTGCATTGAAAGTGGTGGTACCGCCAGAAACAGGTGGTCGCACACGCAACGTAGTGTGGACCGAAGTTTTTAATTGATGTGGTTCGTGCATTTGAGAAAAGACTTTTGTTATATTATGAAATTCTATTTTTCTTGCACTATTTTTTATTTGTTTTGTTGTAAACATTTTCTTTGATAGTTAGTTTTATTGAAGGTATGCATTGTACTGTATCAGATGCAGGCAAGTTCTTTACTTGCTCTGCTCTTTAGGGATACTTTAAATGTATTGAAATATTTTGGAATATTTCATTTTTATATAATAATCTTATATTCTTATGTGAGCAATGTTTGCTTGCAGATCAAAAACAGCAAGGTCAAAGGTCGGGGTACCGCAGGGTTCGGTTATGGGCCACATTTTGTTTTTAATTTTAATTAATGACCTTAGTTTCAATTTAGATTGTAAGTCAACAATTTATGCTGATGACACCTCTTTACTTGTTAGCCATAGAGATTTAGATTGTATGGAAAATGTTGCCAATTCTGTTTTTAAAGATGCTGAAGAATGCTTTACAGTAAATGGATTGTTTTTAAATTCTAAAAAACACAGAGAATATTGGTGACCTTGAAAAAGAATCATGAAAACCATAAATTTGTTCACGAGTATGAAAATTTTGTAACATTACTTGGTATAAAAGTAGACTGTAAGCTGTCATAGTCTGACCATATTAATTTTGTAAATAATAAATTGCCCAGAGTTGTACATTTGTTAATAAATCTAAAAAGACATGTTTCCAGTAAATACTTGAAAATGGCATATTTTGCTTTTTATGAAAGTGTTATCTGGTGGATAATCTGGAGTAACGGAGTTGGAATTAAAAAAAAAAATAATAAAAAAAAAAGCTGTTAAGAGTTTTGCCGGACTCAGAAAGGTTAGCCCGCTCCAGGCCACTTTTTGTCTCATCGGGGACCCTGACTATTGTACACTTGTATATTTTAGAGGTATTGATGTTTGTCAAAATTAATTTAAATATGTTTTCTGTCAGAGAAATAATACATGATCATGTAATCAGATTTAGGAATAAATTAGATCAACAAAGGTTTAGGTTAAGTAAATCAATTAATTATCATGTTAATTTAGGTGTAACATTTTTCAACAAGTTACCATTGGCTTTTCAGAGTTTGCTTAAAAAA